ATACAATGCAGTCCAATATTTCAGCACCACACGCTCTCAAAAGCACACAAAACAGATCATTCATATTTTCACTCTGAGGCCAGTGTGTTATAAAGATTGACTTTATATCAGTTGCAATGATCCCAAGTGCGGAAGAAACCTCTCCTGCATGTGTATTGGACAGCGAACAGTCGCTTTAAATATTTGAGGGCATGAATGTTGGTTGCATTTGCTAGATTTGTTTGCATTGATTAACAAAGTGAATCAGGGAGAGCAGAAGTTTGGAGAGAGTTTGTTGTTGGTCTCAGGCAGCGTTTGGGTATACATATATACAAGGGGACAGGGAAAGCAACAGGTCAACTGCACCTCATATGAGCAAGAACACTGATATTTAACTGATAAGAAATAGTGCTGGTGTGCTTCCCAGACTGTATCCTAACAGCTGACTTACCCCTGTAATACTATCTGCTTCATGCAGCCAATGATTAGGAAGTAAACGGGTGTGTTATCATTTAAAATGGTTTACCTTTTTGTTAACCTTCATGGTCCCTTCATGCAGCTACCCCCCAGATGTTTTCTCTCCCTGTGCTCTGTCATTGCCAGCCCTGCCTCACACAAGTACTGTGGTACCACTTTCCCAGCACCTTTCCCCTAACACTGTGATTTACATACATACAACGACTACGTTCCAAAAAACAGAAGCAGCTAAAAGGAATTCAGACATCATTAATTCTGTTCTGTAAAATTTGACATCCCCTCATTAAGAGCCTTGTGGCTTTGGAATTTGTAGATCATTTATGCACATTATACACATTTGATTAAAGATAAAAGCCCTATTCAGACTACCAGTTCTAGGCGCAATATTTACGTCCCTGTGACTTTTCACTTTCATTGTGAATGTCACAGAGGCGTAATGGGGGGATGAAGCAATCCCACCTTTTTCCACCATCGGAGGAAGTAACAGAAGCCTTACAAAGGGATCAGCAAGGAAAAACAGATATGTGTGTGTGTGTATGTAGAGCTCCTGCTGTTTCTCATGGACTAGGACACAAATATTATGCTGTTGCTGAATCAATATGAATGTACAGAGTCGTAAAGAAATAAAATACATCCACTGATTTGTGCATAATTGACCAGCAACTATCAGAGCTGAATAAAAACATACATATTCTAACCTGTTTTAGTTTTAAGATACAGTACAAATCTGCAGACTTGTTTCTTTACATTGCATGATTTATAGTCCCTGCTTCAGATATTGACAGACTTATATAGATTTAGAAAGGTTCTTGCAGTGACGCTCAGGGGATGTAATGTTTTTCTCACCTCTTTTTTTTCACTCTTTTACTTTTTTTCAGTTTTCCTCTGACTCCAAAATGTACACACCGGCCTCAGGTAATAAATAATTAATCATTGCATGTACACACACACACACACACACACACACACACACACACACACACACACACACACACACACATATACTTCCAATCTGCAGCAGCACAATCACAGCAGCAGCAGCAGCAGACAGGCTCATCCATCTTTATCACTGCAGCCTCACACTCGGCAGTGCACACAAACACACAAGTGAACAAGACACACACATTCCTTTTTTTCCAGTGTTTGTCCATCTTTCTGTCTTCATCCTCTCATTTTCTCTGACTCTCCCCGCCTGCTGCACGAGCATCACATGAGAGATGTTTACAGGTGGACAGAACATTTATCAAATGGACCTACTTTATCTCACAGTGACCTCAGCATATACAATGTGGTTTTGATGATTTACTGCAAGGGGACAGATGCAGGTCGTTGCTAACACAGTGAAGCTTTTGTTCAGCTGCAGTGACTTATGTAGGGGTATGTCACTTAACAGTCAGCCATATTTGGCAGGAGATTTTCTTTGTGTGTGTGTGTGTGTGTGTGTGGATGTGTGTGTGTGGATGTGTGTGTGTGTGTGTGTGTGTGTGTGTGTGTGTGTGTGTGTGTGTGTGTGTGTAAAAGTGAGAGGTGTTAACTGGCTTGTCATGAGCTCTGAGGATTGGTAGACTGTGAATATGAGCAGGGTGCTGATTGGCTGGCTGTGCCTGTGGATGTCACCATGGGGCGTTTGAAAAGGATGACACACATGTGTTGCTTTAACTCCAAGAAGACTCTTGAGTGTTCGTTCTCAAGTTCACTCACTGTTTCTCACTTATCCTGATACTGACAGGGACAAAGTGTCGGCTGAATCATCGCTGCTGTTGTGACTTTAGTTTGACACACACACACAGGCACGCGCGCACACACACAGGCACGCGCGCACACACACACACACACACACACACACACACACACACACACACACACACACACACACACACACACACACACACACACACACACAAATGTTCTCTTTTGGATGCCTCATGGTAGAGAAAAAGCGTAAAAAAAAGTGCCCTTTAAAACTACAGTGATGAAGATCCCTCTAGATTGTCAGTGGTCAGATGTTGCCTTGCATGGTACCTTTGCGTTGGAGGAAACATTACACGCCTTGTAGGAGAGGTAAATTATCATTCAAAACTAACGAAATAATAAAAACTTAATCGTCCAAAAACGTTTTTGCTATCTAAAATAAAATAAAAAAGGCTTTCCAAAAAATGTAAAAAAAACTTACTGAAACTGTATTATGTGTTTACAAAACTAACTTAAATTAATGTATCATTTAGACGGCATCATTAGGTTTCACTTTGTCAATTTATTTCATACATATGTCGAGTATTTTGATATTTTGGGTGGTACTTTAATCCAAACACTAACTGAGACATTTAATTTGTGATTTGTATTTTGTGCATGGCTGCATGTGGTTGTATTTGAGTACACACAAAAAAAATAAAAAAAATAGTTGTAGCGGCACATACACAACTCACGTTATTTAAATAATTAGCTTTTTTTCTTTTTCCTTTTTCCAGTAACCTATATTCCAACCTCTAAGGTGCTCTTTCAGTGGAGAAAATATGATCAAGTTAAAATGTTTGTGCCCTTGTGGTGGATTCTGATTCCCGTTAAAGAATTCTTTCAGGTGATAAGATGCTGACAATAGTAGCCTTGCGATTAAGATAACATCAGAAGGTGCCCTTTGTGCCCAACCAGTTGAATAAAACACGATAAGGTCTCCTATTGGGTGCTCTTGCTGCGCAGAAAAATAATACAGCACCCTTAGAATCGAGAGAACACAATGAGGACTGCCTAGGGACACCCAGTCTGCAACAAAACACAAAGAATAGCCTCCACTGCGTGCCCTTGCAGTGGATATAAAGGTTGTTGTACATGGCATGAAGTTTTTATGCGTGCCGGTGTCACACTCCATACAGCTTGCCCCTTTATTTACTTTGTATGCCCCTGCTCCTGAGACTATCTGAGACCAGCTTTGACTAAATCTCTTTTCTCTGAGCTCAGGATTACCACCCTGGATTGTTTCAGTTGAGCTGGTGCTGTGAAACAACAAATCCCTGTTTGTTGCTGCATTGTTCAGTGAATCCCCCTGACTTATAAGAAAGTGTTGCCACACTAACAGACACACACAGACTGTGACTGGAGGACATGTTGGACACTGTTGATGTGTGTTGGGTCGCTTTGCACGTGTTGATTCTCTGATATCTTCTATCCACTTCTATATTCTGTTGGAAAATGAGCAGATGGTGAGTGTGACTTATGAAAAACCCTGTTGTGTAGCAAGCATAATCTCAATGCTGTACACACAGTCAGAAATTTGGGTTTGGATTTTGGACAGGAGTATTTCTGTCCAAAAGCTTTCTAGCAGTCATAACAGATTATTAAAGACTTTTCTACTTTAGAGCCAATGATTCATTCCAAACTGGAAGATACTTTTTAAAGTCTGGAATTTTCTAATTATGTCATAGGAAGTTTGCCGGCATTAAATAATAATATACTAATAACTGTATGGTAAAAAAATATTTTTTATGGAAGCCATCTTGTTTGTTTACAAAAATGACCTTAACTGTGACTATTGGTGCGTTCCATTTTCCTTGGATGTCGGGTGTCGGAGCTGGGAATCACGTCACATCTGAGTTGACTGTGTTCCTGTTGCGAGTTGGTAACTCGGGGTTACTTGAAGTGTTTTGGAGCCTGACTTCCGACTTCAAGGGGTTGTCCGGACACAAATTAGACTTGCATTTTGGAATTTCTGACTTGTGATCAAATTGAACACATCATAAACTAGGTGTGTTCCTAAAGCAACCAATTTCCCTATCAGTTAAACAGAATGTAACTTCAGACTAGTCAACCAGTCCATAAGGTAAACAGACAGTGAACTTCCTGTCTGGTGTCAGGCAGGTATACTCAGTGTCCTCTTTGAAATGACTTCTGTCATTGACCCGCTTGGAGAACTATAGCCTCTGTACATGGGGTGTGTGCACTTACCACTATGCTACCGGTGACACTAAACTATATTTTTGTAACTATAAAGCACTTTGGAACCTGTTTTTGAATATTTTCAATGAAGTTATCACCATTATTATGAGTAAACCCCACAAAAAATCAGGCAACCAGTTGTTATTGATTTCCGGGCAAAGTGAGAGAGTGGGAAACATGTTTCTGCTAAATTTAAAAAAGGGAATTGCAGGTAGGAGTGTGGAGCTTTATCTGGTTCCCATGCAAAATCAATCAATCAAAAATAATGAAATAATTATTTTCATAACATAATTCAGAAATCTCTTTTTGTCCATTAATTAAAGCACAACCATTTTTTTTTAACAAGGTCTATATATATATAAAACAAAATTAATAGAGGAACATCAAAAAGCAAACATCTGAAAGTCCTGATTAAAATGTTTGAGACCAATCAGAGCAGTTTCCTAAAATCAAATTCCAAACTCAGATCTGTCTGAAATGTTCATGTGTTTATGCTGAAAACAAATGTTTTATACCTACAATGATGTCTAAGTCTTTCTTTGAGTTAAAGTGTGATTATATATGCAGAAAAAAAAGACACAACATCATCAGCACTTTATCTGAATGCTCACAGATTCTGTTCTTTATTTTGTTAATCAAAAATATCGATATCAGCCAATACTTTTCTGCATACTCTGTCACATTACAGTAATAAATACTCTTGATACAATCAATACATTCATTAGGAGGAAAAACTGATTAATGCAAGCCTATAATCACTCCAGATGAGTCCTGTAACACAGTCCTGTAACACTGCTGTGGACCAAGGTCAAAGACTGCTCAAAAAATGTAATCATGTAAAAAATCACAATCAGAAAAATACAGACAAAGATGCTCTAAGCTTCAGTTTTACATTCATGGATATATCTTTATAATACTGTGCTGCATGTAGTTATATTCATCAAGACTGAGTATAAATACATCGTTTAAATCGTACATTACAGGTCCTATGGCACAAATATTACAGCTTCATTCTGTATAGCACAGACATTATGTACACACACACACACACACACACACACACATTTGTACACAAACATGCACACACACATTGTAGAAAGAGAGAGATGGAGAGGAAACACTAGAGCAGCCTGTGTAAGAGAAAAAATACAATTTCACCGTCTGATTGATTTATGCTGGGTTATCTTTTTAATATCTGTTTTTTTTTCATAACGATGGGATATTTCTTCCCACCCCGACCACACACACACACACACACACACACACACACACACCACACACACACACACACACACAAATACTCACACATACACACACCTCTTCCACTTGCTCCAGAGTGCGTCACGTGTGGACACAAAGGCACACCTGTGTGCGACACTCTTTAAAACCCCCTCCCCACCCATCCCTTTGCTTAGGTTTCCCAGCATGCATCATTCCCTGGAGGCCTCTAAAATGAGCTGCAGGGTCTCGCGCAAATGTCACATTAACATGGCTGAAAACACTGGACGGTTTTAACACGTGAAGTTATTGCCATGGCAACATTGATCTGGCACGAACTCCTTGGCCTGAAGCCAAAATCATTTTTTCCTGATCTTACTTTCTTATTGATCTGCTCATTAGGCGTATTGATTAGGATTAAAACACATATTTCAGTGCCTTTACACTAAATGAAATGTATCCTCCTGCCGAGCCTGACTATTTCACACACTATGAGCTCACTGAGTGATTATTGTTATTGACTTTTTGTCTATTTATCTCCATCAAATAGTCTTTAACACCCACCAGCTTTTTGACAGGGTGATTTTCTGGTGGACAAAGATGCACAAAAAGTACTTAAAGGTAATTGTTTCTTTAAGAAAAAAAGGAACCCTTGAGAGAATTAACTCTAAACGAGTGCTTTTGACATAAAGCGGGGGTGGGTTTGGGGTGGGTTTGGATGAGTGGGAGGAACGCAGAGTAAAGGAGTTGAGGAGAATGTGGAAATTGGTCGTCCTCTATTTGTTTTGCAATTTTAAGGAAATCAATTTGTGATAAAAAAAAAAAGGAAAAAGGAATTGAAAGTCGGCAGGGCCAGTTAGTTTCTGAGTGCAAAACTGAAAAAAGGGGCAGTTTAGATGTGGGAGAATTGGGTTAGGGTTTTTTTAGTTAAAAGAATGAATGCACCTTTACGTAAGCCATGAGTCAGAACCTTATATTCAGCCCTTATTTGCAATGTAGCACTCACTGACTGAAAACTGACTGAAACGTTATTATTTTACAACCTTGATCTGTTCATTTTTCTTTATCTGAATTAAATCTTGGTTTTGAAAACATATAAAGCAGAAGCCTTACAGTTCTGTAAGTAAAATAGAGCTGCATTTCTACCAACTTCAGCTCTACGTCAAAAAATGCAGCCCTTTGATTTATCACTGCTTTTAATACACGCTTACTGATCAAAATAATGAGACAGACAACCTAAGGCCAATTAATCCAAAATCAGAAATCACAATCAGAAATACTCTCATTATCCCTCTCCATGAAAATCTTTAGTTAAGGGCGAAAAGATTGATCTGATCTGAAGAGAAACAAGAGTGATAAATAATGCAAGTTCATATCCCTGCTATACTCCATGACACAGATTTGTACTCTTTGCTCTGATTTTCAGCCGCAGACAGTTTCTGCTCCGATAGTTGATATGGTGAGAAAAAGAGTAACGACACAGCTGCTGTTGCCTTTTTAAGTGCGTCAGATATTTGAGTGTTAAACAAGAGTCTGGAGGTCGTGACATTATCAGCTATGACAGACACACCTAACATCAATCAGATTTAAAGCCTTATCCATTAATACAAAAGGCCAGATGTGTCTGATCCCTCCTGGCAGTTATTAGCAGAAATCTGCCCTTTGGCAAAGCTCCATTCTCTGTAGCTAGATGAACACCGCCGATGCCTCAAGGTGTCTGCAGAATAGTTGTGCACTGATCTTAATGTGTTCTTAATACAGTGCAGAGTGTATGAATGTGTGTGTGTGTGTGTGTGCGTGCTCACATTTATGGTTTGTAACCAGGCAGGTTCCAGATGGAGTTGATGCAGAGGACTATGTTTGGGTGTTAAATGTTACTTGGACAGCAGAACAAACAGCGCTGAAATGCCTCTCTGTGGCCCTGAGATCAAATTCACTGCTGCATGATAGGAAAGAAAATCTCATAAAGGTTGAAACTAAAAGGATGGCCGATTGCTTTATCCTCTCAATCTCTCTCTCTCTGTTTTTTCTCATTATCTTAGAAAGCTAAAGGGTTTAAGAGATACATTCATTGTATTCATCCACATAATGGCTAACAGTAAGTCATCAAGGTCCATTAAAGGTTAATCAAGGATCTATCTACAAAAAGCAGAAAAAATGTCCTCTTCCTAATGTGGAAATGCGATTTCTAGGTTAATGGCACCTTGGAGCTAAACCAACTCCAATTAACTTCTTTTTGTTGTGTTTTTTTGTGCAGCTACAATAACAGTCATGTTTAATAAATATTGAACCAACAGTAAGGAGAGCGTCTACTCATCCTTTGACAATCTTTGAGCTTGGTTGTGGGATAACTTCCATAGCGAGTGCCGACTTGAAGGTGACCTGCACTGCTAGGATGAGGAAAGTCAGGGAGGCCTGTTCATTGAATAAAAGCACAAATTAACAAGCCTTTGAGACTCTTCTGCATATTAAACTGGAAACTACAGCGCTGTTTTGAAGTGCTTGACAGACAGTCATAACCGTGGACAATGGACACGCCGTCGCTGGCTCGGCCTGAGTGAATCACCCCTCTAAGGTGAGCCGTTTAGTGCCAAGACTCTGGCAGGAAACTCTGCGTGATGTCTGGAAATGACTCCCAAAGGAAAAACGACACATCTGCTCGAGGCTCGTCACTGTTGTGCAATGGCGAGCGACCATAAAAAAAATCACTGTCAGCAGACGTTTGATGCTTCACCAAGGACTCATCCAGTCATGGTTTATCACTGATACAAACATCGGCCTATGAAAGTCAGTGATAGATGGTGATGAGACCCCTTTATCAGTCAGTCTCTTACAGTAAGTGTTTTTTTTTTTTGCTGGAGGAAACAATCAACCTTTCTCAGCTGGTCTCAGCTTTATGAATACCTGCTGTTTCTTTATCCGTCCTGCTAGCTTGCCACTTTGTTATCACTGAAAGCTATAGCTAAACCGTCGCCTCTGTGCTCTCCGGGCGTGTTGACATTTTCAAGCCTCAAAGAGTCCCACGTGAGTAATCTGGTCACCAAGTAGACAAAGCCTGAATATATTCCCGTTCTGCTGAGTGTGGCGGTAGCTGCTGGCGGTTGACAGCTCAGGAGGAAATGCAGATTGGCTTCCCGTTTTTGTCGTACTGGTACACCAACATCTTGATGCAGTGGGAGTTGGCCGGTGAGATCCAGGGGCTGCTCGTGATGGAAAAGTTGTGGCTGGCGTAAAACGGAGGCGGCTGCTTCCGGCAGTGCACCATGGCTCGCAGCACGTTGGCCGCCATTCCCCGGAATCGCTTGCTGATGAAGCAGTAGAGGAAGAAGTTGACGCCGGTGTTGAGCAGTGCGAGCATGTTAGCCAGATCTGTGAGCATGTGGAGCAGCACGCCAGCACCTCGTGACGCAGGTGGAGGGGAGTAGAAGTGGTAGAGGATCATGAGGGTACGTGGAGCCCACAGAACGGCGAAGACGGAGGTGATGGCGAGGAGGATGGCGGTGGTCTTGCCGGTGGAGTAGCCGCGCAGACGGAAACAGCTGCGGCGTCTGCGCAGCTTTCGAACGATGGCAGCATTAAGGGAGAAGAAGACGGTGCAGGGGAGGAGGTAGACAGTGGCGCAGTGGGCCCACACAAGGACATGCTGGGCCACGGTTCTCCTGTTACCCTCTCCTCCTCCACCACTCCTCACCCCGGGCAGGCTGTGCCACAGCTCAGGCCACCAGTAATAAGGAGCTGCAGAGAGCAGGCACCCGATATACACAGCAAATATTACCCTTCGAGTGCGGGCAGGGTAGGAGACTGTGTGGTAGCGCAGCGGGTGACAAACAGCGATGTAGCGGTCGATGGTGAGCGGCACGGTGATCCAGATGGAGGTGTGGATGGAGGAGAACTCCAAAACCTGCACCGCATTGTTGAGCGACAGGGGCAGCGGCGCGGCCATTATGAAATCCTCCAAAATGAAGTCGACAAACACAATGAGGAACAGGACAAGGATGTCGGCGGCTGCCAGAGCCAGGAGATAGTTGTAGGAGGACTTCTGACGACGCAGCACCAGCTGTGACAGGATGACCACCGTCAGGATGTTAGCTGGGGAGGGAGGGATACAGAAAGGTGATTGAAAGAAGAAGAAAGGTGAAGGAAATTGGGAAATGATGGAAAAATTAAAAAAAAGTGTGAGATTGGAAAAGGAATGGGGTGAGGGTTAGGGCAGGAGAAGGAGAGAAAAATGTGTGTTAGTCGGCAGGCAATTGAAAGGGCTGCAGCAGACTTTATAAGTGCAACACAAAGTTACTGTACAACATCCAAGTACAAAGATAAGGACAAAAGAGTTTCACTTCTGTGGAAGAGTTTCACCACCACTGTACAGTAGCTACCAAACATAAGAGCATCCAGGGTGAATTCTTTTCCAAATAATATTTCAGCATTCACAAATTCTGCAGAATAATCCAGAACCAGTTGGCTCAACACCAGGTTACGGCATCAGAAGTGTTTTGATTTCTGCTTGTAGTACAAGTCATAACGCCGTTAATTGTTCTGCTATAGACATTGGCTGTACACAACAGTCCTGTAGGGTTGCCTTGCTTTGCAGTTTCAAAGAAGTCTCTGCTCAAGTGTTTCTAGGATTATTTTTACTGATATGTTAACCCTAATTAGCATGTTTCTGTCTGTTTTACCCATACCTGACTGCATGAAGGCTTATTTCTAATATTTGTAGTGAATTGTGCATTTGAGTCACGGTTGTTTACTTTTCCCTGGAGGTCAGCCACAGCCAAAAATACTATTTCTTTCTGTTGATGGTTTGCGAGCTCATTCACTTGCTTCAGCCCTATCTTTTTTTCCAAATACTTTTGCCCTCACAAAGCCAACATGGTGACGGCCAAGATGGCAAAAATGAGCTTTAAAGGCAGTGGAAAAACCATAATGGTGGTTACATCCTTAATAAATACTCTATAGTTCCTCCTTAAAATTTTCTTTTGCAATAAGGTAAAAGCTGTTATCACCCCTCCCGCCCCCCATTGCTTCCGTCCCCTCTGCCCTTTCATGTACACCTGCTCTGTAATTCCAGCAGCACCTGTGTCTCCCTCTGGCCAAATTGTTATCTCTAATAAAGAGTAAAGCTACAACAACAACAACAGGAGGGCAATGTGCAGCATCATAGCCTTGGCAATCTGCTGAGCTCACTCCTGCCTGCCTCCGGCAATTTAGTTCCTAAAAGAAAGCACAAAGGCACCCCATCTCCTCCTGTCTTCCTGCCTTTTTCAATCTTAAGTCCATTTCCCCAAAATATATCCTCATACCGTCTCATCCATGTGGCAAAATGAAGCGTTTCTCTTGCTTCCTTTGGTTTGTTTATTCGACCTCTCTAGCTTTCTCCACAGGACAGTTAAAAAGCCCAGGAGGGGGACCACTACTCTGTTGCTTTCTGCTAAAAAACAACGTGGACAAAGAGGTCTGGATGTAATTTATCCCACTGCAAAGCATGACCACTGTGCACCTGCATTAGACAGGAGGAGCACAGCTTTCTGCCTCTCAAGTGGAACTGCGGTACAGAAATGGAATTGAACAGCCTCATAACACGATTTGTTTCCTGTCCCCTGTCCCGTTACCACATAAGTTGTGAGCATGCTCAAGCCTCTCACACACCTGGAGGAGTCAGTGAATCAGAAAGCACTTTCGCACTTGCACAAAGTTCCTGAAAACTTCAAAACATTGGAGAGAGCCGTCTCTCCCCGCCGCCTCAACCTTAGAGTCAATTGCTAACGAGAGTTGCCATGTAGGGGACACTGAAGCTTCAGTGTTTAGCTGGCTCTGAATCAGTCTTTAAACCACGTTTCTGCTTATTGAGAAAATGTTGAGGCGTTTTAGGTTAGGGTTAAGGTTAGGGTTTTTAGGTCAGGTAGAATCAGTATCTGAATCATTATGATTTAATTCAGTAGATATCTTACAGATTGCTCCTTTAACATTATGAAAACATCACCCCTCCATATAGTTTTTAACAAATAAAGAAATAAGCGATAGAGACCATCTGCTGTTAAATTATAATATTGGGCCTAATGGAGATTAATTGGCTTTTGACGCCAGCCTCAAGTGGACACTAAAGGAACTGCAGGTTTTTGCACTTCTGCATTGGCTTCATTTTTCATCACTGCTTGAGTCTCACAAAACATGGACCCAGGATTAAAAACATTTCTGCACGGTACTGCAAGTTGCAAAAACTAAATGGACCAGACGTTTATATATTTAACCCTTTCATGTATATAAAGTGATTTTCTTAATGTCTGAAAAGCTGAATGAGACATTTAAGAAATACATGTTTTTTAGCAGAAAATGATGATGTTTATTTATTTTGTTTCAAGGTGATGTTTGTTTGGTTGCAGGTTCATAATGTCATTTGCCTATTTGGAAAAGCCTATTTTTTCCTAGAAGGAGACTCTTTGTTTGTCAGCAATTGCACATTAAGAACGTTCAATGTCGATTCAATACCAACGTGACATGAAGTGTAACTTATAGAGGCATTATTTGAGAGAATCAATAATTTTCCTATTTCATGCTGTGGAAGTTCAATTACCTAAACAAACAATAATGTATCCATCCTACTCTGTTTCTAACAAACCTCATTTAGTGAAACAGGCTGCTGCAGCATGAATCCACGTCCAATCTGTTTCCTCTGACAGCGATCTGCATCAATGTACTTAGTAGCTGTCACTGTCCATGTATGTTTGTGTGTGTGTGTGTGTGTGTGTGTGTGTGTGTGTGTGTGTGTGTGTGTGTGTTTGCTGTGGTTCTTTCAGGAGTAATAGATCTGGGATTGGATTAAATATGGCAGCTTGAAGTCTGGTACATCACACTTCACAGCCTCAGCCACTATCAGCTGATTACAAATTACAAAGCAGGCTCTGCATAATGACTGACAATGTCCTTGCCAGACTGGAGGATGTTCAGCAGGACATACACGCATGCATGCACGCACGCACACACACACACACGCACACACACACACACACACACACACACACACACACACACACACACACACACACACACACACACACACACACACACACACACACACACACACACACACACACAGATCATTAGGGATGCACCAATTCATTAGCATACAATCTATCAATAACCATAAATGAGATGTCAGAGCAGTTTACAAGGCTCAACAAGACAATAATATGCTGGATTACATCCCCCCCCTGCTGAATCTTGTTGACTTTGTTATTGATTTGTGTGTCTCCTGCGGGTCTTACACTTTCTGTCTATTTCTGCTCTTTTACGGGTCACAGTTTGTTCCTCCAGCAATGTCTTTCTTCACAAAATGTATAACTTGGCTTACTATATGTGGCAACATAATGTGGAGCTTTAGAGGTTTTTTCAGAGCTGTATATGTCTGCCTCCGACTACACCTCCCTCACCTGTTAGATAAGGAGAGAAGTCTAATGATAAGGCAGCGATCAATGAGTAAGGTTTCTAATTCTTTAATCTTGTAAACAGGTTTCACCCAAGTAAATGTTGTGTCACTGCCTTATCTCACGACATACTTTATTATCAAAGTAGGGACAATCTTCTCGGATAATTCTGCTATATCAAGCAAAAAAAAAAAAGGTTACACAAAGACACAACAATAAACTACAACATTGCAAAAAACACTGTCATGTCTTTAATGAAAAGATATGTTACTACAAATCTTTAGACATGTAGAATTGAAAAATAATTCTTAAAGCCACAAAACCATGTGTAATTCTAAATGCATCACTGCCTCCGAGTCCATACTTAAAAGCACATGACAGTCAGAGGTAAAGAAACACCTGCAGCCTCTTGCCTGCTGAAGCTGCGCTGACATTTCCTAAAAGGAGATCTTCTACAGTCCTGCAAAACGTGCCTCACATATGGTCCATTGCCTCGCTCTCTCTTTTGTGTCTCTGCCCCTCAGGTATCTGACTTTCTGTTTGTCTTCATCCACAAACGGCTAAACAGAGAGGAGAGATGTGGAAATGGAAACAGGGAGGTGTTCACTGTCACTGCCATGGGTGTCATTCTGTTTGGGCTCCCCGGTGAGACGGCGGCCTTCTACCAACAAACAAAAGGGATCCGTGGTGAGCTTGACATTTCCATTCAATTCCAGCCAGCCTGCTATGGGTTTCCCATTCATTTCAATTGACTCTTGCTCTTTACTTTGTCTGTGGGGCTGACGAAAAGGAGGGGGGATACAGAGCTGAATGGGCATGCCTCCCATTCTGCAGGAATGAGGTGGCACATTCAGGGACAGACGAGTTTGCAGGATGCACAGAGACACGAGGAATCATACACGCAGATGCATCCCTGCTTGCAAATGGAGATATGTGCATCTCACTGCAAAATACAATGCAAAATCTCCCCCATGTGTTCCTTTTTCTCATTGCAATGACAATTTAGAGCCTCCAGCTGCGAGCAGATCAGAATGACCTGCTGTGGGTTTGTCTGTTTGTCTACATTTACTTGTGTTTGTCGCTGTGTGTGTATTTGCTTGAGTGACCCCTTCTGTCTATTTGTGTGGGAGTGCTTTTTCTCCGCTCCCCCCTGCTGCTCCTCTAATATAACGGGAGACCATTGACGTTGTTTAGCGGGAAAAGAGGAGTCACAGCATGCTCCCTGAGGTGTGTAACGAGGCTGACTCATCCCGCCAATGAAGGGAAGTGTTCAGATAAATGACAGTGTGAAGTTTAACCCCTCGAAACCTGTGGCAAAACACGACCTCCTTGCACGTTCATCAGGCTTTCTCAAGGGCATCATATACCCAACTGACACAGAAAATCATTTACAGAAAAAGAAAGACAGTTGGCAATGCAATTAAGGATTTATTTTTTGTCATTAGGAGGAAATTGAGGTTCAGCTTTGCAGGATTAACCTGAAGATTAATAAATGCTAGAGAAGAGAAGGAATGAGGAAATAGATGATGGATTAGAGACTGTGTGGTCTGAGGAAGGTCACAGGGAGTTAAAAAGAGAGCAGGTTATCGAGAGAGAATGGAGGGGAGGATTAGACGGAATAAAAGAACGAGACAGAGGCAGAAAGAGAGAGAGAGGAGGAGATGTGAT